TTAGTGAAGACCCCTTGGACCTTTGTCTTTTCATTCTTAAGTGATTAAAGTGGCATACGGCCTGATTTCCCTGCCCCCACTGAGTTCCTCTTCCAATCCATACTTCCTCTGGAAGGATTTCTATAAAATGCAAATAGGTGGTGTAATTCCTTGCACTTCATTATCTTCCAATATCTACTGCATAAAGTCCCAACTCCATGGAATGCATAATGGCCCCTCTTGATTCTGGCTCATGCCAACTTTTATGGCCACAATGCCTGCCTTTTATCTGCTTGTAACTGTGCTCTGGTCGTATTAAACCACTGACCGTACCCTCAACAGGAAGCTTTTTCTTGTCTTTGTCTCTCTGGACAGCCAGCCCTTTCCCTTTTTCTACCAGGTAAGCTCCAATTTCTTTAAGGATCAACTCATGTCACCCCCCACCCTGTTCCATGATGCCTTCTTTGACATCCTCATGGCACCCAGTAATTCTCTAAAGCACTCTTCACACTGTATTATAATCATCTGTCCTTGCTTTTCTTCCCCAGCTGAAAGTGAATGAATTGAGGACATAAATGCTATATCTTCTTCACCGTCACATCTAAAATATCAAGCACAAAGCCTGGACCACAAAAATGTTTAGCAAACTGAATGTATCAACTTACAAATGCTTAGTCAGATTCTTTCTCTGCCCATGTTGTGACACCAAATGAGATGGGGTCAAGAGAAGAGTTTTTTTTTTTTTAATTGAGATATAATTAGCATACAACATTGTATTAGTTTCAGGTGTACGGCATAATGATTTGATATTTATATACATTGCAAAATGATCACCATAAGTCTAGTTAACATCTGTCACCACACATAGTTACAATTCTTTTCCTTTTTTTCTTATGATGAGAAATTTTAAGATCTACTCTGTTAGCAACTTTCAAATACACAATACAGGATTATTGAGTGACTAGAGATTTTGTAAGCTCCAAGCAAATTAGGATGATATACATTTTCAGACTTGATTCTAACTGGAATAATGATTCTCATTAATTTTAAATGATGGGCTTTTAAATAATGATAATTTACTTAAATGTATTTGTCCCAACATGATTTGCCTGCTAACTTCGTAAGTTTAATGTTGGTCATCAATAATTAAAACAATAACAAATTAGCTCTCCTCATGCTTATTTTTGGGGGTTTTGTTAATAGTGTATAGGAATCAAGACAAGAACCACTGCAAAAATAGTAATAGTATGGAGAAAAAATGCTATATAAGAATCCATTTGAAAATCTGCATTTAATAAATGAGTAACATATAAGAAAGTGAACCTGCTATTACTATACAGATGGAAGAATTTATTAAGTATCTTTTTAACTATTTTTTTTTATCCTGAATGACTGCATGTTAAATATGTGTTAAAAGTTTTAAAATTGAGGTGCTATTGATGCTTTAGGACATTTCAAAGAAGGGAAAAGCACAGTCAAAATTTTAGTAAGCAAGGGACTGAGCTTGCAAAGCAGATGTTCTACCATTTGCTGAATTTTTGTTAATACATCTCACCTTTTGAGTTGAGAAAAAAATAACATTGTTCTTTAGCAGAAACTTTTTACAAATAATGCAAATGAACAAAACCTCTCCAACTTTAGGGATGATCTAATGTCATAAATGAAAAGTATGCAACTTCATTTCAAAATACTCATTATCATCTCTATCTATAACTCCATTCTCTGGCCCACTGGGACTGTTCTTTACTTAATACTTGACTAGAGTTGAAAGTGTTCTCCTTCTCTAAAAAATTTGGAACAATATATACTTAACAGATGGTGTCTCTATAGTCTACCTTAGTAAGCCTTCTAATTAATATATCTTTTTCTAAACAATGATTTATGAATCACCTTTTTCTGTGAGAATTCTTTGTATTTTTTGCTGTATTTTTTTTTAATATCAAGAGTTCCTTGATCCAAAAAAGTGGTCTTCCTTCTGATAAGTTAAAGTTCTTCAAATTAAATGGAGTTTTTATATAAAATCTGTGAAATATACCTGGTCATTTTTCCTGTTTTTCTGGTAAGGAAATTGGGTCCTTAAAAAAATCAAGGGCAAATAGGTAATTGATGATGTCGGGAACTTGCCTCTTGATATTTTGCTTCTTTATCATCATATCACCATATATTTTTAATATTCTTTACCAACCCAAATAGCCAAATTTAGCTTTGATCTTGCTGGCCATTTTATATGAATTTGAAATGGGTTTCTGAGCTCAGTATTGAGAGACATATGCTTTGAATTATTTTTACAAAATGTCTAAGTTTACCAGGTTCTCACATATTCTCTTGTGACTTATTCCTGGCTTATCAAGAAGAGCATCATATTTGAAACTACAGCCAGGGTTGCAATCAGGGTCAAATAACTTTCTCCCCAAAAGAAGCTAATTGACTATAGGACAATATTATTCTATAGTCTTAGCCCCATTAGCTATATGCTCTCCTGAGCAACTCACCAAACTAACTTAGTTTAAGCTTTGGAACATGATTCACTCAGTTATATCATGAAATGTATACAATTTAGGATTGTGTGTGTGTGTGTGTGTGTGTGTCTGTGCGTGTTGATCCAGATACACATAGTAGAGCCATTTCAATAAAATAATAATGGTAAGTAGAATCATAGACACAAAATCGGAAAGCCCTTAGGAATGATCAAACTCCTCATGAATCTCTTATCACCATTCCTTACAGGTGATGGCCCAACCTCTGCACACTTTTACTAACATAATCTCATTCTTTCCAATCCTGGAGAGGTTTCCTTGTTAGGAAGTTATTTCTTATCCTTAATAAAAACTTACTGGTGACTTTCATCTTGGTCCAAGATTGCATAAACAAAGAATTAACCAATCTTAACCAACCAAAAAGTGAGGGTCCTGGAAGTTCCTGTCAATGGGTAATATTTTTGTCTTTAATATTTTTTTCTATATTCTTTGGTTTCCATCATGATTCATGCAACAAGATGGAGTAGATTGAAAGGGTCAGAAACTAATACTGATCTCCCTGGCTGGGAGATGGACCTGCTGCTATAAACAAGAGGGTGTGGGAGCATGGTCTAATTCAGCAGGCAGGACATAGAATCTGAGCAGAATGAACAACAAGTGATACAAAGAAGTCCTGGCAGGACTTCAGAAGCAGGGATGCCCATGACATTCTTGACATCTAAAGATGCATATATTCAGACGAGCATCACAAACTGAAGGTAATGATATTTATGACTACATTGGCAAAGGTTAGATCCCAATTTAGAAAACTCAGACTATCGTTACAAATACAGATTTTGTGAGGGCTGAATTTGTATTCTTTGAAAGGATGAGTCTCGAAAATTTCCCCACTAATTTGAGCACTGTCCATTAGCTATCTCCGACTTCACTTTCTCATAGAAAGTTTCTTTCACATTCTCATAAAAATCAGACACACTGACAAGCTGTGAATCAGTTGAGGGAGATTAGCTCCATTTTAATAAAAGGAGTTTCCTCATAACCCTGGTGACTAGTGTTCCCTACAAAGATCTTGTTGCCTTAAAAAGACTTTCCAATTGTTGAAAAATATTTTATCGAGCTAGAAATTCAACATAGTATCAAAGTGACTAGCACTTTGATTTGAAAAGAAAGGTTAGGATGATGAGACCTGGGAAAGAATGAGTCAAGGAACGAGAGTTCTTGTCCTGCCTTTGTCTAGCTCTTTATGTCACCTTTGGTCACACAGAATATTAGAGTCCATGAATACAGAGGGAACTTAAAGAGGCATCTGGTTTACCACTGTGGCCAGTTTAGCTTTCTTTCAAACTATAAAGTTTCTTTAAGCCAGTACCTATAAGATCATAACAACAGCATTTTATGAAACAGTATAAATAATCTTCCCCCAGGGAGCAGTTATGGAGGTAATCACATCTGTGAGGAGAACAAACATTTTCTTGCCTTCACATTTTTTTTTTTCGTGTTAATGACTGGGCTTTAAAAGAATGCAAACAACATTTAAGTCGTATAGGTAGTACATTGCTCAGTTGTCTGAGATGAATACTAAGGTTGGAAAGGAGAAAAGGGACAAAGGCATAGGTTGTTTATACATTTTTTGATTAATTCATATTTTTATCTTCTACTGACTCCACACATTACAAACAAACAAATTTTGTTTTGCTACCAGACAAAAAATGCAGTGAAAAAAAAGACAGTGGTTAGGAACCATGTGTCTTTTTGTTGGCAGCTCTCACATATCACAGAATAATGGTTTGGTAGATACCTGGGAGGGGTGGTGGGCACAGGTGTATATGTCAAATTCGAATTCTCTAGGATTACTGGCAATTTTAAGGCACGGGAAGCTGGAGATTGCCCTTATGCAAAGATTTACTTGGTAAATGAAATTTTCTCTTACCTCAGGACTTTCAGCTAAAAGCCAAGTAATAAAAATATGGAAATTTAAAAACTTATTTTTGTATTAGTCAGCAAATATTGGCCCCTACTATGCACAACGGCACTGTGTTAAAACATCATTCACTTCTGGATACATACTAGAAGTTAGGAATAGAATAATTCTTAAAATCCCTCCAAAATGTAAAGATTCTTTTTGGTTAAGTAGTCAACACTGTCCTGAAAAACATCAACTCCACAAATGGTTTTAAGAAAAATAATTAAGATTCATAGATATTTGGAAAAATAAAATGTCAACTGCTACAACCTGAATTTTTTTTTTAACAACCTGAAATTTTTAAAGTTGGTGGTTTTAAGACTTACCTTTCAATTGGTAATGATGAAAAAATCACATTCTATCTTATATTCTTTAGAACAGAATGATAGAATGAGGACATGATTGATGTGAAAGTGAAAAAGCTAAATGTATTAATTTAATTAATTTAATAACAATCAATTGTAGGACCATAAACTATTACTTTTTTAATGCGAGTTTTTGAATATTAAACTACAAATAGATTTTTTTAAAGGTGAAAGTAAAAACGGGAAATAATTGGAACTAATTAGATCAAATCTTACCTGAAGTTGTTTTTTGTTCTCTTTTCTTCTCCACTCTCCCTGAAATGAGAAATAGCAGGTCAGTTGCAGAGTGGATCCATGAGAACAAGATATAACTAAGAGGAAACTCCAGTTTATGGCAATTTCCAAACACAATCACTCTTTCAGCTGTGTCCAACATGCTTCTAGAGATGACTGGGCACAGTTGAAAGGGGTGAAAAATGCTCTCAAACCAATTTATGCAAGTCAAAAATAAATAAGGATGCATTAAATATGCTACTGGGTTTTAAAAATCTTGTTAGTAAGAGTAATTTACTCAACAATAAACTTACAAGGTACAAATCCCCACAGAATGAACTGTGGGGCTAAACACCCGAATAAAATAAGACCAAGGCCTCTTACAACCTGCTTGGGAAGATAAAGGACAGACAATACAGTATGAAATGGGATGTGCCCCAAAAGGTACAAAATGTTTAAAGAATATGAGAGGATGAGTGATTATTTTAGAAATGAAGGGATGCCCACAAAGTTATGGAGAAAATGATATTGATTTGGACCTTGAAAGATACGTGTGATCTGGGAAATTTGAAATAGGGAAAGTATTGATTCTTGGCAAAAGAAATAGTATGGGCTATGTAGGACAAGGCCTTTTGAGCAAGAGCCATGTTTAAAGCTTGCTTTAGGAACTACAGTTTTGCATAGGAAGAGGGCTATTCTAGAGTTTAGATAAGAGGTAATAGACCAAGTATGGCAATGCGAGTAGGGAAGTAGGAAGGCGGAACTTATAAGGCCCAGGGATTTACAAAATGTAAAGTGCAAGGGAAAAGGAAAGGTCAAGATGCATGGTTTTATAGGTAACTTTGGACATGGTGATACAATTTGGGGAAATGGTAAAGCGTGATGGGGGCATGGGGGCGACGAGTTCAGTTTTAGACTTAACTGAGTTTGAAGTGTTACAGGGACATGGAGTTTGGGAGAGGGATCCGAACTGAAATTACAATGCGGAAAAGGTCCGTCCTGAGAAGATGGCTGGGGCTGAGGCAGGGAATGGGAACATAAAGGCAGGCAGCACAGAGGGCTGGGCTGAGGAGAGTGACCAAGAGAACAAAAATGCTACTTCTACTTTATGATGTAGGACCACAAGACAGAAGCAGCAGAGATCCACAGAGATCCACAGAGCACAGAGTCATGTGCCACAGATAATTTGAGGAAGTATGGTGGGCACCCCCAGCATCTGAATCTGCTGGGTTCACATGGTTGTGGCTATACTGAGAGAGAGCAGGCTTAGCAGAGCAGGGGCAGGGAGCACAAGAGACACTATGCAAGCCTGAAGAGTAGCCAGTGGTGAGGAAGATGAGCTTGAGGAAACGCCTTCTTGTTCGCGAAATTTGGCAGCATGCAAATGAAGGAGACAGGGCAACAGCCTGAGTGGGCGCAAACCCCACATTTCTGCTAGGCTGTGGGCCACGTCAGCATGGTTACAGGCTTAGATGAGAAACTGCAGGAGGGTCTTGGTGTGTGGCAACACCATTGTGGAGGTCAGAGCCTTGCTTTTGTGATGGATAAGCATGGGCGCCCTTCTGGCCATCACGTTCTTGTCTGCTTTCAGCATTTCACAGGTGGAGCAAGATACTGAGGGTTTATTCAACACATGCAAGCTGCATGTACACTTTAGCCAAGGTTTTCTTTTTTTTTTTTGTTTTTGTTTTTGTTTTTTTTTGTTTTTGTTTTTGTTTTTATTCTTATGTTAATCCCCATACATTACATCATTAGTTCTAGATGAAGTGTTCCATGATTCATTGTTCGTGCATAACACCCAGTGCTCCATGCAGAATGTGCCCTCCTCAATACCCACCACCAGGCCAACCCATCCTCCCACCCCCCTCCCCTCTAGAACCCTCAGTTTGTTTTTCAGAGTCCATCGTCTCTCATGGTTCGTCCACCCCTCCGATTTCCCCCGCTTCATTCTTCCCCTCCCGCTACCTTCTTCTTCTTCTTTTTTTTTCTTAACATATATTGCATTATTTGTTTCAGAGGTACAGATCTGAGATTCAACAGTCTTGCACAATTCACAGCGCTTACCAGAGCACATACCCTCCCCAGTGTCTATCACCCAGTCACCCCATCCCTCCCACCCCACCCCCCACTCCAACAACACTCAGTTTGTTTCCTGCGATTAAGAATTCCTCATATCAATGAGATCATATGATACATGTCTTTCTCTGTTTGACTTATTTCACTCAACATAATACCCTCCAGTTCCATTAGCCAAGGTTTTCTACCAGCTCTTCCTGTCTTTTAAAATCTTAAGATATAAGAAGGAAAATGTACAACCTTTCTCTCATTCAGCCACCAAGAGTGTCGAATGCATCTAACTGGCATCTTGATTAATGGCACATGCTGTTCATTTGGGTGATTTCCAGAGGTCTTGTTTTATACGATTTATTTCAATGATTTAAACAGATAAATGACATGAAGAGTCCATTTAAAGGCTTCATTCATTACCAAGTGTGATGGGGTACCTCTTCATTTAAGTTTTTTATCAGGCAAGCCACTGTTTACTATTTGATTACAAAGTTTGGCATACTAGACGCCTCAAACATCTCTATAAATTTTAAAAAATGCTATTCAAGTCCTGAATTATAAAATGTTTAAAGACAAACATCTCTTTGGAATGTCTTTAATTTGTATAAGAATGAATCATAAATCCTGAAAGTTGACAATGAAAGTATTGGAGATCAATAATACGGTATGGTAGTGAGTCTCCAAGATGCTCCCAATGACCCTTGTTTTTTCTCCTCCTGGTAATTGTGTCCTCGTGCAGTCCGCTTCCACACTGATTAAGACTGACTTGTGTAATCAATAAGATTTTGCAGAAATGATGGAACGTGACTCCCTAGGTTGGGCCTTAAGAACCATCATGGCTTCCATCCTGCTCTCTTGGATCACTCTCTGTGAGAGAAGCCAGATAGTATGTTATGGGGACACTCAAGGAGCCCTGTGGAGAGGCCCATGTGACGAGGAACCCAGGCCTCCTACCAGCTGTCAGCATCCACTTGCCAGGCACAGAAGCTGTCTGTCTGCCAGCCTCAGTCAAACCTTCCAAAGGCTGTGGCTGTGGCTGACACCTTGGCTGCAATTGCATGGGAGGCCCTGCCCCAGAACCATCCGGTTAGCCATGCCAGAGAAACTGTGTGAGTTGATAAATGTTTACTGTTGGCTTCAGCTGCTAAGTTTTGGGTAAATTGTTATACAGTAATAGATCATTTTATTACGAAAGTCTAGGTTAATTTATCACTTAATACACCAACAGGGATGACAGTGTGGCAAATCAATCAGTCTCCCTGACTTTCTCTGTGTAAAGTGGGGATCAGAGCCTGCTTATCTGGAATGTGGTGAGGAGTAAATAATTCCATATGCAGAGCTAGCAAGAAATGGGGGAAAACTCACACAAGATATTGGGGTTGCTCTAGTGTTTTTTCACTGAGACCTTAAACAGTCCTCTGCCCCTGTTTTACATGCAAGGGCTCTGTAAACTGTAGAGTGCTCTATAAACGTTATTTATAAGTTTTATTATGCTGTTAGTTGTGTTATAGGGATCAATTTAGATTTCTATTCTTAGTTACATATACGCTAGACTGCAAATTAGAAAAATAAAAACTAGATAAATAAGACAATATGATATTGATTAAGGGACACAGACAGTGCACTGCTTAACTGGAGATGACCCTCTAGGTTTCTTGTTGAGTCACTTCATCTTGCTCCGAATGAGGGTGATCTTGTCCCTCATTCTCCCGGTGTCCCCCTTCATAGAAAGAGATGGTCCTGAGACCCATGTTTCTAGCTCCAACATCTACTGAGATTTTAGACCTCCTGGAAATCTTTAAATCTGTATTTTCTACTGCACTACAACACATATCCTTAACTTAAATCATTATATTTCCCTGCAAAACTGCTCATCTTTAGAGTTGTCTTTCAGTCTCTCAAGCCCCCAAACATGAAGCCTCAGAGTCACTGGCTTCTCCCTTTCACTCAACGTCCATGCCTAATACAAACCTCAGACCACTCCATTCTCTTTCTACAGGGCCTTTGGATCTACACTTTCCTTTCTCACTGCCCCCACCCTAGTTGACAAACATGATATGAACTTTCTTCCTTGGGTTATTTCCTACACGCTCCTAACTGACTTCATTGATTTTAGGGATGGTTTTTCTGTCCTCGAGTCAGATCACTGCTAAAGATTAAAATCCACTTGCCCGAATGTGAAATTTATGACCCTGGAAGATTTGGCCACAACCTACCTTCTCCACCATCCCTCAAGCATCATACATAACACTGACCAGTTATGCCAAGAATCCCACCTCCCATCCCAACTCCCTGTGCAAGCTGTTCCTGCTTCCTGGAATGTCCTGACATGTCAGTCCTGCCTATCCAAAATCTGTTCATCCTTCAGAGCTGAGTCAGATGCCAGCCCTTCTGTGAAGCATTCTGCTTTGTGCCACCCCCAACTCTCCACTCCCTGCAGAACCAACCACCCTTCTGCTATGCTCATTTACCCCTTTATTTATACCTCTGCCACAGTACTGACTCCAAAGTTTGGCTCATAATTAGTTGCAAATTTGTTCCCCCAACTGGACTGTGGCCTCCTTTAGGGCAAGGGGTGTGTGTACCCTATGGCTCTCTGTCTCCGCATGTCTCAGAGAGCCTTGAACACAAATGCTTGGGACTGAGTCAACACACCCAGAGAGTTATGAAATGCCTCAGTCCTCCTTAAAATGCTAGGGAACAGGAGGTAAATTTTAGTACTGCTAACACTGAGTGCAAGTACAACCAAGACCAGAGCTTTTTACTAGGTATTTACATTACAATGGACCCCTGGAAAACTATTCTATTAGGAAAGTGGGTGATAAAATAACAGAGAGGCTTTCAGAATAATGAACATGCATTTTTCCTTTCTTGTGCTTTATTGGATCACAGATTCTAGTTTAAAAACAAAACACTAACGTATGGTTTGCACCTTACTTCTCTTTAAACCTGGATGCAGCACTCCTCCTGTGAGA